TACCTCAACTTTCTGCAGAACACTCTATATGAGTTTTTGGAAGATATTCCTTTGAATCAGAGGCAAGAAATGTGGTTCCAGCATGATGGTGCTCCAGCTCATTTTTCCATGGCCGTTAGAGAGCATTTACACCAAACTTTTCCACATAGATGGGTAGGAACGGCCGGACCTGTTTTATGGTCTCCAAGATCGCCTGATCTGAACCCTCTAGATTTCTTTGTTTGGGGATATTTGAAGACATTAGTGTATGGTACTCCTGTAAATAGCCTGGAATAGCTGCAGCTACGGATTAATCAAAAGTGTCAAGAAATCCAAACCAAGGAGGGTGTTTTCGAAAGAGTTCGAATATCGTTGAGACGAAGATGTCGTGCCTGCTTGGAAATGGACGGAGGGCACTTTGAACATCTTCTGTAACTTTGTTTTTTGTTTGTTAAAATTCCTAATAAAATAAAATGTTTGAAAAACGAATAGTGGTTCATATCTCCGCAACCGTTACTTTGCGGACCCATGTTTATTAAGACTTTTCTGCTTATTTTGGTTCATACTATTACCTCCTGAAATATTTTACACTCTTTTTTTAACACCCTGTATACATTAGTGTGGGGTCTAAACTGAGAATATAAATGCAACAAGAATATCTGATGTAAGTCGTACACTTATAATATTTATTTTCTTGGGAAGCAGCGCAACTATATTCTAAGTTAGAAGAACATGGTACTGAGAACTGGGAGAGAACTTCAGAAGGAGTAAAATTCAGTATCAATAAAGGATTTGGCAGTCACAGGATCATCCCAAAACTGGTATCTCCAATGTCTTCTTACTCTAGCTACAGTTGGGTAACTGTTAAATAGGTGCCAGAGCATTAAGGAATATTGGAAAATGAAGTAGTAGATACCCTAACAAGAAAGAGGTCTTTAGAATTTTTTACAGGTTCTCGGTTTGTATGATACCAAATACGCGGCATACCAAAAACCCAGAGGATGGATGTATAACACCAGTCTCGTTGAAGCAGGACACCGTTGCAAGGATACACCAGATCGTTGGTAAAAAAATTAGCAAAAAAGTGATTGCTGAAGTACTGTAATTAAGCAGAACACGAGCAGCTTACAGGGAAGATCTGATTTTTTGGCCAACATTTCCTGATTCCCACGTCAATTTTTAGCTGCGATGAAACATCCTTTCTGTTCATCGAACTTGACACCTATACTAATATCCTATTTGTGTAGCTAAAGATAAAGATAATCAAGGCAGGGAAAATACTAACAGTAATATGACAGACGTTTTGAAGACAAAACTTGCTTCTAAATTGATTTGAAAGGTGAAAGGGATGGAAATTAAACTAAAACTATCGAAGGAGTGGGGGACAGTTGAGTAAGAGACTGGTTTCTGTTAAAACAATACAATTTATTTATCACATAGTGTGAAAATTACATAATGTACATTAGTTAAAATTAAAATATACAATCTCGTATTTGGCTTGTTTTTTTTTTACAAATGAAGTTTAGAACATGATCGCTTTAATGGCAAAAATTTTCGGTAAAAACTGTGCATCTTAAAAATTGTTCAAAAAACGACAAAACCGAAAATCTAAATCTAAAAACTATAGGTACAACTGGATTTTTACAGTGTTTATCAATACCACTTATGTGCACTTCACTTGGGTTTATTTTTTTGAGTCTTTTATTTTCGATGAGTTGTTTTTAGAAAACCAGTGATTTGGAATTTAACAAAACAACGTTATATACTCGTATTTTGTGGATATTTACGAACAATTTACGTATTAATATCACATTGAATCTTTTGCGGGGAAATAATACAATTTAATTACAGTAGCACAATACAATATGAATTTACACATGGTTATTACTGTTGCTTGACACTACGATGCGTATATCGAAGTAACGGGAGCTACGGGATCTGTATCAGGGACCGTGGTTAATTTCTTTAATCAGTTCATCCCACGCTGAAACCCGTTAATACATCTAAAGAAATTTTAAAAAGTCTTGCTAGACCTTTGTATATCAAAGTCAAACGCATACAAGAAACTGAATCTTACAGCTGCCATACTGGGTAGTTTTATTACAATTTCATAATTTCTCTGTTCAGTGTGTGTAATATTCCGATAGTGACCGATAATTATAATTTTGATTGAATTATATATGTAAGTATCTCGCAAGCAGCATGTTGCTCATCATATGCATCGCGCAAGACGAGAAATTGATAGTAACATACCGTAGGAATTAATTGGGGAAAAATGTCGGTAGCTATAGACGAAACTCAATATCGGAAAAATGGTACTATAAATTCTGTTATAATGCGCATTCTAAGGTATTTATCAAAAAAGTAAAATATATCGCACTCTTCACTGATACTACAGAAGCCATTTTAATGACATAGCTAAGGTATATGCAGAAAATGAGTTGGTGGAAGTTTATTTTAATATATCTAATAATTGATAGTTAAATTCCTTAGAGACGCCAATGACTTTGCACAGAAATGTCAAACTGTAATTATTACTAGATAAACTATGATGATAAGGTAAGACTATCCCTCTTGAACTTAAAAATTTGTAAAACTGTACGACACGTTGTAAGAAAAGCTTTTAATTCTAAAATTTTTCAATTAAACAAACACATTCATTTTTTTATTTTTAAAATGTTTTTCGCTATTACCAAGTGATTTATATATCTTACTACGTTGCGTTGGTGCATGATAACAAATACTTATTCATTTCATTTATCAGAAAGATGATTCGTCAAAACTGACATATGATAACTTCCTGTAAAGTATGAATAATATAAGACAATTTCAAAATCTTCAATACTTTGTACATTTTATTTTATCATTGTACCAATAAAGGGTGTGACTGTTAGGCCAGGAAATATAGAGTTGGACGCGACTTTTTGTTTCGGCAAGCTGAATACGCACTATAGATGCTAAATATTATGTACAATAACACATTAGTTTCCATAGTCATAAAAATGGGGGGAAAATTGTTTACAGGGTGGTTAATTGTATAATTTTTACGTAAATTCACGTTTTTCGCTTATAACTTTTTTCCGTTCATTTCCACGAGAAACCAGTAAGGTACTTTTTTATTCGTCTTCAAAAGATCTACAGAACTAACCCTCGAGAGTCAAACAGAAGAAGTTTATTTATGACTTTAGAATTAAACATTTATAAACTGCGTTATTATTACCAGAACGTTTTGGCATCGCATCCTCTCATTTGTTATCACTGTCTAATAATTTACACGAAATCTGAAATCGGTAAGTTGAATAGTTTACAAGTTATGACCTTATAAACAAATTAACTAATTATTTAGTCTGGACGATCCCGAGCATCTTCCACAGTGGCACTGATTTTTTTCATGGTAGATTTCATAATAATACATTGAAATCTATCATTTTTTTTTAATTTCAAATTTGCAGCCTGGAAAGTTTTTTATTTTTTAGCCTTAGTTGCAAAATGAAATATACGACGCACGCGCGTGATATAGTTATATATTATTACATATTTGGAAAGCTTATGAAAAGAGCTTTAATTTAAAAAATCGTCAAGAATCGTTGAAAAACAACTTCGGACTCGCTGTCCTTTGCTTCCCCCACCATTCCGTCGCGCCACGGCTCGTCGAAAATCAAGCGACCCGCTGACTTTTGACAATATTTCTTATGCCCTTAACATCCACGAATAAATTATTTTTATCTGGGAAAGTACTCAGGTTGCCGGTTATGATATTATTTTTTTTTGTCGCTACCAACCTAATTTGTTTAACAATAGGCCGTCAAATTTGACAGTCTGTAACTCCGTTGTTTTTCAACGAATCTTGACGATTTTTTTTTAACTTAAAGCTCTTTTCATAAGCTTTCCGAATATGTAATAATATAGGTATAACTATATCACGCGCGAGTGTCGTATATTTCATTCTGCAACTAGGGTTAAAAAATAAAAAAAATTTTCAGATTGTAAATTTGAAATTAAAAAAAATTATAGATTTCAATGTATTATTATGAAATTAATTTACTATGAAAAAAATAAGTGCGATTGTGGAAGATACTCGGGATCGTCCAGACTAATAATTAGTTAATTTGTTTATGAGGCCATAACATGTAAACTATTCAACTTAACCGATTTCAGATTTCGTGTGAATTATTAGACACTGATAACAAATGAGAGGATGCGATGCCAAAACGTTCTGGTAATAATAACGCAGTTTATAAATGTTTAATTCAACAGTCATAGATAAACTTTTTCTTTTTATAACTTTTGATCTAATCAATATTTTTTGATGCTCGAAGGCTAGTTTTGTACGTATTTTGAAGACGAAATAAAACTAATATGTTATTGTACATAATATTTAGCATCTATAGTGATAAATTCAGCTTGCCGAAACAAAAAGTCGCAAAATGGTAATTTTCCAGCTCTTTTTTCTGACCTATGTATTTAAGAGTGATTAGTGTTAATTTCCTAAGACTAATAATTAAGGAGGTGTGAAAAATGTCATAAATAAATGGAAAAATTCACAACACTAAATATATTGTTTTAGAAAATGGAACTTTTTCTACTCGTATGTAAATTTATGTTTAATTTATATCAAAATGAACTATAATGTTGTAAATTAAGTAGTAGCTGCTAGTGAGAAATGAGTGACTTTAAGTGATGATTTCTAGGCCCATGAAGAGAATTTTCCTTATGACAAAATTTGGGAAATAAAAAATTAAAATAGGGACAGCTCTCCCTGGGATCTCGAAAATTGTTGCACATATTCGTACAAAATATATATTTGTTTTCATAATCAATTAGTAAATACAATTAGGAGTTTTTTCATTTTCACAATATTTTCATTTCTATTACAGCATTATGAATTTTGAAAAATGAGGTGTAATATCAAATTAAAATAGGTATAACTACCAAGAAAATTTAATTTTGTGAAAAAATTTTTAAAAAAAAACCTAATTCTATCTGTCAGTTGATTATGAAAAATAATATTTGGACATATACGTGCAACCCTTCTCGAGATTTCAGGGGATGCTACCCTTAGTCGATTTAATTATTTCGCAAATTCCGACCAGCACTTTTTCATCACGAAAGTTTTCTTTGCTGGCCTAGAAATCATCTTCTAAAAATCGGTGTGAGTCCCATGAATTATTATAAAAATTAAAATTAAGAAAGTCATCAATTTGAAATTTTCACTTTTGGGCTTAAAGAGACAAGCCGGAAATTTCTTTAAAATTAAAAGTTAGATCAGAAATCAGCCTATTTCGATTGTTCTAAATAAATAAGAAACAAATCGTCAGGTAAAACGACAATTAAAAAACCTTAAAAAACCTTATTTAAAAACTGTCAAAAAAAACTCGACGACAAAATGAGGTAATTTTCGCCATTACTCAATTTACCCAAAGATTTTTTAAATAATCGAAGACCAGCGGTTTATCTGCAAATTCAAAAAATCTGACAATTCTTATTCTAAACCACTTTTTTAGTACCACTTGCATTTTTTTGTGTAATAAAAACAGTTTAATCTCATATAATTTCCAGATTTTTCCTTTCCCGACTTGAAATTTTCTATGGCATAGCAACCTTATCATAAAAATAAGCAAATTTTTTCAAGATGGTTTTTTTTCTATAATCATCCTGATACTTTAATTTGAATGGTTTGTAAATAATAAAATAAATAAATACTTTACGCAGTAATTCTGAAAATAAATTGTTTATAATTTAATTTAGGTATAACATATATTTAGGCGCAATATAATTCTGACGATAAGAAAATAATAATAATATCAATTTAAATGTTATTTTGCAGACAGTACAAACAGATACCAAATTTCGTCTTGTTTCCCATCGTATCACTGGCGTTCTAAAAACGACTACAATTAAGGATAATATAAATAGTTCATTGTATTAAGGCTCTCGGAATTGAACAAGGTTGATTTAATCATCACTACCATAGTATCTGCAGCATCTCCTGCATATGCAGACGCAGAAGGAGCACAACAACATCAGCACCGACACGGACGCCAGTCCCACGTATATCCAGTTGACGGTTGGCTCGGTCTCCCTCACGCACACATCCGCTGATTCGTCGCTAGATGTCGTCCCTGAAAATATACGAAAATTGAATTAAACAAGTTACACTCAACGGAATCATCCTAACGAAACGCTTTGCTAGGATATTTTAGCTACTGTTCGTAAAATATTTGTAAGGACAACAAAAGAATCGTGTTGCCATGATTAAATGAGTTTTGCTGAAACTTGTTTGCTAAAACAAAAAAATGACTTGCTCCTTATTTAACAGCTCACTTGGATTTATAGCGTATTCAATTGTTGATCTATCTCAAGTGAGTTGTTTTGGTCGGGTAAGTAATTATACTTTTTTGGAAGTAGTGAGCTTTTAGTTGTAGGAAGGAAGGACTTGGCAATTAGTGTACCCGAGGCCTAACTTAAAATTTTCCGAAATAAACCGGAATTTGTTTTATTGTGCATGCGTGTATATCGACCGTTTACCCCCTACTGTCCTGCGGCTAAAATCCCTCTTTTCCCCCCAAGGTCCTAGTTTTGTCTCAGTTGAAGGACAGAAAAGTTTTAGTGCACATATTTTTCCTACTGCACTAATAATAATTAGTACGTGCAGCAACTAATATTCTGTTGCTGACCCTCATATCCTAGTTAAGTCATCACTGAATAGGACCTCAGCTTCTTGACTACATCAGCCAGTGCTAGTAGTATCCAGTATGGAATTTCGTGCTCCAGTCCAGCAAACTGCATGCAGCAAGAACATTTTTTCTTATTCTTCATACTCTTTCTGACATGAATCTGCTCAATATTTCCAGAAGTTTGCCACCCCATGAAAAAGTCATCTGAGTTCATTTTCATAATATTGTCGTTATGCATATTCGCCTATTTTGTGGTTGCATTAAACGGGTTGTAGATTCATATTGCACGTTTGTTGTCACCTTTGTCGAATGAAGGGAATGAAACAAAACAAAAGGTTTCTTTGCACATTATAAAAATTTAATTAAGTATATGCACAAATTGTAAGGGGTGATTCTATGAGTGAATTTAAGCCAAAAGATTATTTAAACATGGGTTTGCAAATCGATAGTTTTCGAGATAGGGGGTGTTGAAATAAAAAAAATTCACCTTTTCTAAATTATCTCTAAAGACGTTTGATACAGAATGATGAAACTTAGGCTGTTATATAATTTTAGGGAAATATCCACTGAATAAAAATAAAATATGTTTATATAAATATAAATATGTTATAAATAAATATATATAAATATGTAAAAATATAAATATTGTTATGAAATATATAGTAATTGTGTGTCTAAGTCGTGTTGTTAAAATAAATTTTATTATTTTTATTATTTTGCTCGAGTTGTTCTTGTTGTGTGGTGCGTTGTGTTATTTTATTTTGTTTGTGTAAATGATAATTGTGAAATACAAATCGGTTTTTTTTACCCTGTAGTCCCTTGCCAGATGCTTGTTTTACTATTTTCGATCTCAGGAGTCGGTTCTATTGATTTTTATACACAAACAAATAATATGCAACACAAAAAAAATAGATATTAAACTTTAATACAATTTTATTAAACAAATTTTGTTGTGGGTTGACTCATAACGTTCAAATTGTAGCTCTAATTATAAATCCCTTTTTATAACACTAATAAAGAATATTTTTATCAATTTTATAGTCTTATCTAATTTAGTACAATCAAATACAATACAAAAAAATTGTTTTATATAAAAATTTGTAACTCTATTAGCAATTCCTTTTAATTAGTCAATTCTTAACACATCTTGTTGTATTGTATTTTGCCTATCTTATAGGGCATAATCTCTTTTTGA